TTAAATTGCACTCAACACACGTGTGCATTTAAATAACCCTCTCTMCCGATATATTTTGATTYTAGTTATCACTATGTATTATAATTTATAACTCGACCAAAATATCTATATTAATAACACGTACTTACCTACATGTTCATTTTTTCCAGTTGGCTGTACGAAATCGGAACCTGATCCCGGTTGGATGGAAAACATGAACGGGCCGTCTGGCATTGTTGCTGGTGTTATGACTGGATTCTTGAGGACTGTTCCAATTGTCAGAAACAAAATCACGGATATAGTACCGGCGGATTACACCGTCAACGCGTTGATTAGTGTCATGTGGGACACGGTGAACAGGTATATATGTATATTATTGTAATTTGTAATTCATATCGTCAATGTTCATAATTTATTATGTGGTCGATGGACACGAAATATTATAAATGTTTGATATTGATCATTGATGATAATTTTAAATTTTCAGATACCAAAATTCCAATTTGATAAACCAGGAACCAAAAGTATATAATTACGTTTCTAGTGTTGAGAGTCCCTTGTTATGGGGTAGGTATATTGAAGAAATGCAAGATCATTATCACGAAGCACCTCCTCTACAAGCAATATGGTATATTTTTTATGTTTTTTATACCAATTTATGGATTGGAAAAATTTTGAGATTCGTATTGCATCGGGTACCAGCCGCGTTGATGGATTTTTGGTTAACTGTTTGTGGTAAAAGTCCTAAGTAAGCGTTGTTAATTTTTAATAAGTGTCTGTATTATTATTTTGATATATTTTAATCCGTACAAAGTGATATAACAGAAGTTATTACAATTTTGATATTGATATCATAAAAAGCATTTTTTTTTTTTAAATTGATTACTGTCTGTAGTTTTTAACTACCTACTACATCGYTTTTACTGCAACACACACTGTTCAAATTGATTCTATTCAATAAATACTATAAAGTATTAATTATTATTATCGTTGAGAAATACTACAGGTATTTTTTTGAAATTGTATCTGTCTACTGTTTACGTTTGATTGTTACTAAAATATGTAGTTCTTTTTTGTGTTACGTATATATTTTATTGCTATTTGCTAGTCATAGTGGAAATCGGAATATAAGCTTATAATTATATAAAAACAATTTAAGCAATTAGTAGTGATTTAAACATGTATATTATATGTTAATTTATAGATTTTTAAAAATGTATGTGAAAACGGAATTCATGATGGATTTACTTTATGAATTTACTACGAGACAGTGGAAATTCGATAATAGTAACATTAGGGAATTGTGGTCGTTGCTAAGTCAAGACGACCGTAACGTGTTTTGGTATAGCTTGGAAGAATTTGATTGGACATCTTATTTGAACATTTATTTTTATGGTATCAGAAAACACGTGTTACATGAAGAATTGAGTAACGTGGCTAAAGCAACAGTGAAAAATCGAAAGTACGATTTTTTTCCTAAATTATATTTTTTTTCCGATCATGATATTTTATTATATAATTGTATTTATGTATTGTTTTTAGGTTATTTTGGATGCATCAGWTTTGTATTTTTTTAATTATTTACTGTGCATTTCGAGCATGTTGGACTTTTGTATCTTGTATTATTATTGATTGACAAAACGTATTGGTACACCATGTTGCAGTGGTTATATTTTGTCAACTTTTATCAATAAATCAAACCATATATTATTGATTTTATGTTGTATTTTCAAAGTTTAATTTAATTATGGATCTTATAAGTTCAGCATACTGACTGTTGCAGATTCGGTACGAAGTGATGAATGTTTTTTAATATTTTTTTTTGCTCGTTTCATAATCATTTGGKGCAGAGATAATGTCACCAAACCGGTAAACTTTTATTTTCTCGAGGTCAAAAATATTTTTTTAACATTTGGTACGTTAATTATTCTTCATAAGCATCACGGGAACGTCGAGAACACTAGCATGTTCAGTGGCGTATATTATTCTGGTGATATAGTTATCATAAAGTTAGGTTACCATAAATTTGGGATGTTTTTACTTTTGAGTACAAATTCCTGTATCAGAAAAGATATTGAGAAACAAAWATCTAAGTAAATTTACCGCTCTTAAGTGTGATGGCAATTGATAAACACAAAAATTTAATTAAAAGGAAATWACGCCTCATTGCAAATTCAATACATTTTATCTCTCCGTTTAGAATCTAAAATTAAAGATTGGTATAATATGACGTAGGTATGTATGTATAAAAATATATAATAGCACATAATAGATTAACATGATAATAATTAATAATAGATTTATGAATGCACAGGAATATATTTAAATACAATACAGTATTTAAAATTATAACTAGGCTATACAAAGAATTAGGTTTGAAATGTTGTAAACATAAATTATAAATATGTATATATTTTGCGTAATGGTGGTGACTGTACACTGAGAATACTGACTTTACGACTAGACAGTAGACAATAGTAATTAATAATTATATATATATGTATAATAGGTACTATAATATAAGCTAGTTTACCAGTAATAAATAATTATCTCTACTTTTCAAATAACATAGTTAATAAAATAATAACATTAGATTACAGAATTGAGAATATTTAATTGTAATTATATTATTTATTACCTACCTATTGTTATTGTTGTGGTTACTGGTTAGTCTTAGAATGCTATAAAATTCACTTGTGTTTATCATTTTGTTTTAATCATTAGGTTTAAATAATGCTTTAATCAAAACCATGTTTGTTTCACTTAGATGTTAAAAATATATTCGAACATCCTAACTTCAAACTATCATTGATTTCTTTTAATTTAGAAGTAAATATGACTTCGATTTTAATCATATAAATAGGGGTAGATACAGTCAAGTAAACTAAGTTACTACTTGCCTTCTACAAGGAGTGCAATATAATCAATGTTACTAGTTACGCACAGGTTATATTAGTCTTAATAATCAACTAATAT